ACACCAAAAAATAGAAATACCCAATCAATTTTGATCCTCCAAAGTTGTAATCCTCGCCCTAAATGCCTCATTCTGGGGGCCCAATTTTCGCCTTTTTTCACCCTCCCTTCCGTGGTCCTTTCCTCCGGAAGGATACCGTTTCCTCTTCAGGTCGGTTATCCTGACCTTACTCGTCGCCACGCAGTCTTTCGCGAAATGGTTATCTCTGCCACAGCGAAAACATTTTCCTTCTTTTTGCCACTTCTCTTTTTCGTCCTTGGTGACACCTAAGTCATCCGAGGGCTTGGAGTTGTGTGCTGGCGCGGAGAAAGTTTTCCGAGGTGCGGGGTTGCGCGATTTTCGCCGTTCCGATTTTTCCTCCCGAGGTTTCACGACCTCCTTGCCACGTAAAATTTCTTTTCTTGCTTTCACCTCGTGGTCCTTGCGTCCGACCTTCCTAACCCAGACTAGCCATTCCGCGAAATCTTCTGGTTCTTCGATCGCGTTCGAGAGGCGTTGTTCCAGCGAGGAGTTTATTCCTGTTAGGATCATGGATTTCATTACGATGGGTCCGACCTTTGCGTCCCATTCCAGATTCTGCATCTCATTGATGTAGTCATCGATCATGCCAGTTTGACGGAGCCTATCCATCTTCTGCTTGGCTTGCTCTTGACTAGTCCGATTGCCGTATTGAATCCGTAATTCGTTTTTGAAATTTTCCCATGTCCCGATGCTGGGATCAACCGATAGTCGTTCCACGAAATTTCGCCAGAATTTTGCCGCACTCCCGGTGAGTTCCAGGGATGCCCACAGGATTTTGGTCTGGTCGTCCCACCGGACTTTCCTCTGAAGTTCAATTAAGACTTCCATTTGGTCAATCCAGTGTCGCACGTCTTCGTCGGCTTTTCCAGAGAAGGGGATTTTTGCCTGTTTTGGCGTGTCTCCCAGGGTGGCGCGAGGGGGGTGCATGAGGTCTACCTCTTGCTGCCTGTTATGGCGCCTTCGCTCTTCCCGTCTTCTTTGCCTTCGTTTCCGTGCTTGACGATCGTCCTCTGAATCTGAGGAGCTGGGCGAGTCTGAGGGGGATGGGTCTCGTGGTCTTCCGCGGTTTCCGCCATTGCCATTATTGCCATTGCCTCCTCTTTGCTCACTTTGTTGGCTTCTCGCCGCAGAGCGGGGGGGTACGGGGGGTTGGCTCCCTGATCCTTCCGGTCTCTCTCCGGAATTGCTAGGGGGGTTCTGTGGAGGTTGGGGGGGTACTACGCCTCCGCCTCCTGAGCCTTCTGGGGCTGCTGCCGTTCTATTGGCTGCCACCCGCATTTGCTCGATTATCTCCTCCAGGTTCTTCTTTGTGCCTGCGAACTGGTCTTCCATCGCAGCTTGTCTGTCCCGTTCCATCCTCTCGAGGGCAGCCATAACCTCCGCGGGTATCTGTACAGGGCCATCTTTGGGGAGTTGCTGAACGAAGTTGGTCAGCGCATTTATGTGCTGATCCTGTCGCTCCTGCCTTTCCTGATGCGCCCTAGTAGCTTCCACGATCTGCCCAAGGACTTGACCGAGGTTGCTGGTAGCGGCGGTGGATTCCGCTCGTAGCTGAGCCATGACCTGGTTGAGCTGATTGTCGCGCTCGGCTCTGTCCCCAGCAAACTTGGCGTGGAGGTCCTCGACGATCTTGTCGGTGTACTCCTGCTGCTGACGGGTGAGTTCCCTGAGGATGGGAATGTCCCGTACGTGCATGCTGAGTTCCTCGATCCCACGGCTGAGCTGTTGCACCACGGGGGCCCCTTGTCGCTGGACTTCTTGCCCAATAAGGTCGCCAAAAGGGTTCTCCACCCGCCGTTCCTCCACGTCCATGTTGGTATCCTCGTCGTCGTCCATTACCCGAGGCACCGAGGGCCTCTGAGTAGAGGATCTCTCTCTGATTGGGGTGACGTATGGGGAGAACTCCCTGTGGTCTACCTGCCGCCTCCTCGCCTGCCCATATGATTCTTCCTGCCTCGTCGATGTGAAGAGGGAGCCTATCGGCACATCTCTCTCTTTCCTGTGACGCCTCTTCGCCTGGGTTTCCAATATACCTCGATCTCTCAAGGCGATTGAGCTCTCCATGTTGTAGTCTTCCTCCGACCGTTGCTGATGAGCCCTTGACATTGCTAAGTTGCTCGAGTTTGAGCTGTGGTTGCCTCCTGCACCAGGGTTGAGCGATGAACCAGGGGGCTGGGTGAGCAAGTCCGAAAGACCGTTGGGAGAGGGTGATCTTGATTGGGAAGAGTTCTGGGTAGTTGAGGATTTCGGGGTCGTGTTCCTCAAAGGTAGCGGTGGTTCCTGCTTCTGCGAAGAAACCTGTGTAGTGGAGGTATCCGCAGTACAGATGTTCGGCGCTTCCTCTCCGTACGGTGAAGGATGTAGCGCAAAGGTAGTTGTTGATGGCTGCTGTTGCCACTCGGGGGTGCATATAGTACCTTGGTCTTTCTAATAGACTAAGCGCTTATTCTTCTACTGAGAGCACGGTGACTATCCGCCACTAAGCAAAATACTCAAAGTATTGGTTTAAGCGAGTAGTTGTCTTATCGAGACTTCGGTAATCTATGCGATAGGTAAAGAGTAAAAGCTAGGGATAAGGTACAATATAGTGTTTCATTCCTATAAGCCATACATTTGAAAAATTACCGCCGATTACAACAGTAACTATGTAAAGCGTACTTAAGAAATAAAATCTGGCTTTGCTCTTCAAGTATTTCAAGGATCTCTAGTGTTTCCAATAGCGTAGAGTAGGTAGTAAATACCTCGCTAAGAAACCCGCCAGGTCCAACTTGCAACACATCAAACGGATGTTACTCAGAAATCGGCGGTCTCTACAGGTCTTAGCGAGTCGCTGTTCTGTAGTCCCCTATTCCTTTCGGATTCCTGACTTGATGGTTGATGATACCCTCAAGTCTTCGCAGAATCAAGCCCTATTTATACATGTTGGAACCTATGCCAAGGCCCGCTTTCTAATACTAACTGACACAACAATAATAGAATAAGGTAATGCTCCCGAAGATAACCCAGATAGAAAAGCGCCCCCGCATAGTTCCGTCCTCCATTCTAATTCCGACACGTAACCACCAACCTTGCAATTGCCAGTCATCGGGCTGTACCATACTATTATCCTAGACCTACTTCCCTAAGTAGAACAGCCTACAGCCGTAAGCCCCGCTTCCTATTCTATTCCGGGCGAGACACCCAATAGTAAGCGTGCCGTCATAATAGTATAACACTAGTGTGGTAACACCGCATGCCCCCACACTACCCGATACCTTTCTATGCTTGTCCTTTCCGTTACCCGACCATCCTCGCATCACAACTCGTCACTCGTATTCCTCGTTGTCCTAAGCCTCTAGAACAGTGTTCCGTAGTTCCCGTAACACGTACGGAGCTCGGGAGGAGGTGGTGGGGAAAAAGGTATGATTCTTGGGGGTTGAGTCCTCGGGTAGTTCGGGGACCTACTCTACCCCTAACCCTAGTTAGTATTTACTTGTCATAATAGGTAAGGCTACATACATGGTCTACAGGTGGCTTGGATTTTGTTTGTTTATTGGCCGGAGAAGAGCGAGTGTTCTCCTCTTCTTCTACTCATCGTCACTGCAACTACATGTAGTCGTTCGCTACACTTTATCCTTAAGCTGTTACTTAAATGCTGCCAACATAAAACATGGTAACACCAGGCGAGCCTCGCACGCAAGCCACAGAATTGAGACATGATACTTGGCAAAGTTGGCAGCTTTATTAACAGCGTAAGGGGTAGACTTCGGCAGAGGCCTTGGCCTACCGGTACCGAGGGATGCTTTTTATAGCGAGTACCTAATATCAGTGGCACCAAAGGTACCAGTCCTACTTTGGCTCTTGCTTGTAGGCGTTGACGCTTAATTAAGCTACATACAGCTGACAAGAAACGCTGACAGTTTTCTGCAGGTTCCGGTGCTTGGTTTCCCCAGGTTCCTTATCTGAATCAATCTCTCAATTGCATTAATCCTCCGCAAAAAAAAAAATATGTCAGCATTTCTTGCTAGCTTATCAATAGTCGCTGGACACGGCTTTGCAAAAGGAGTAGTAAGCTGCAGTTGGTTTCCTCGAGTTCCTTATATCAATTATCAGTTGTCTTGATCTGAATCAATCTCTCTCTCGCGCCAATCGCTCTAATCACACATCTACTGTCCGGTGTTATTGTTCCTCGGCGAACAAGTTCAAGTGTCGGCATTCTTTTCCTAGGATACGAGACTGCAAGAATAAGTGGTAAGCTACAATTGCAGGTGAAACTCGGTGTTACTAATGATCTTCGAAGCTTCGGGGGTGTAGTGCTTGATAAAGCTCAGGGTTAGGGTAACAATGATAATAGCAACTTTTAACGATAAATCACCAGCACGAGCAATTGTAACCGCGCGTACGATTGGGAAGACGACTCACGAGAACTGGAATATATGCGGGAGGGAGATACATAATTAACCTCTCAAGCCAATTTGTGGAGTGGGCGCTAGCGCTGTAGAGTACCGGCCAGAACTTGATTCAATCCCAAGAACTGGCCACCAAGGCGAAGGCGGGGAGTGGTATCGTATCAATGGGACAGTAGAGTACAGTCCATACACTCCAATTGGCCGTCTAAAGCTGCCACCACTGGTGTGTTCTGGTTCAATTGTGTCAAAGGGAGGGTTAGGGTTTTTGTTCACCGGCATCGGCACCAGGCACGATTATCAGTCTGTCTCACAACGGCTTTCTCCATTCCGTCAGGAAGGTGAATTTACAAAGCTCGTAAACGACGGTCGACATGCCCAAAATTAATCAATCAAGCGCAGAAAAGAGTAGATATCGAGCTGAGCAGGAAAAGAAAGCACAAGAAAAAGAGAGCACAAGAAAAAGAAAAAGAAAAAGGAAAAGAAAAGAAAGGGCTTGGGATGAGAAACACGGATTTGATAGGTTTCCAGATGAGCGATCGTGTCAGAACGGCGAAGTATCGTATCGTATCGTATGCAACAGGGAACAAAAAGTCACCCTGCATCACCACCATCATCATCCTGTTTTCCGTTCCCGTGGTACACAGTCTCTCCCTGGTTTGCAGGGTTAGGGTTGTGCATGGGGACGGGTTGTTGATCGCGAGTCTAGGCATCCAGTCAGGTCGCAAACTCTATCCACACCACCAACAGGCACCAATCGGCGAAAGTGCCTAATGGGATGGGAGGGATTGAGACGTTCATCTCGCATCGTTTTTTTGGCCCATTCGCCGGTTGGGTGATTGGTTGGTTTGAGTGCATGATTGAGGGGGGGCATAACGCACATGAGAAGGGTGCAGATTTTTTATTTTATTTTTATTTTTTATCTTTGCCCTTTTTGCTTGAATGTTTGTAAAGGGCGAATATGGATGGAGGTCAATGATGAGAATGATGGGATTCGTAACTTTAACGATGGGAAAGAAGGACCCTGGGGAGGGGGGGGAATGGAGGGGAGGTTGGAAAACAAGCTCTTCTAGCGTGTGCTTGTCCCGGCGCTAGTGGGGCTTGGTATTGCGTTAGCGAGACAAGGGTCTATGACGGAGGGGCCTCCGTGTGTGTCTGAGAGCGGAGGAGTGGGTGGAGGAAAGAGGAGGAGGGGAGGGGAGGGGTGGGGGAAAGAGAGAGAGAGAGGGGGGTAGACAGACAGGCAGAGGGAGAGAGACAGAGGGAGACAGAGAGAGACACGCGCACTCACTCATTCACTCACCTCCATTCTTGGGTGGAGAGATACACTATCTCTAGGAACCAGGAAGGGGGGGGGGGGTAGCACACACAGTAACCACCCACCCACCCACCCACACTCAGACACACCCACTCACTCCCACCCTCACCCTCACACACATCTTTGCACAACCAGGTAAAACACTCCGCCATGCCAGATCAACGCGTTCTCCCCCCGGCAAGGTCACCTGCTACCGCGAATACAGGCCCGAGGAGGAGGAGCAGTGATATTACCGCCGCCCATTCTACTGCCCTCGAGAGTGCTAATAATACTACATCATCGTGTAATTCTAATTCAAATCCTCCATGTAATGACCCACCTTCTTCCTCATCATCCTCTCCTCCTCCTCTACCTCCCACTCGCCTAAGGCTAAGCCCTGTCATCATCATCGTGCTGTCTCCCCTTGCCATTCTTATTCTATCCGCCGCGCTACTGCCCGTCTTTTGGAGCAGCAGCACGACGACGGCCTTACTAGCTTCGGAACAGCCTGCACTTAGCGGTGGTGGTATTAGTATTAGTGGTGGTGCTGGGAGAGTTGCTTCTTCTTCTTCTTCTTCTCTTCCTGCCCCCCCTTCGTCTGCTCTTGCCCCTCCTTCCTCTTCTCTTCCTTCTCTTGCTTCGCTTGACCATTCATTATTCTATTCTGCTACCCCATCATCATCATCATCATCATCATCATCATCATCATCATCATCATCATCATCATCATCATCATCGTCTACATCACCACCATCCCCACCACCACCGCCATCTAGCGAAAAGTCCCACATCATTGACCAACACCATTTACACACCCACATCACCAACGTTAACAACAACGACTCCCCCCACCACCACCACCACCACCACCACCACAACGCCTCATCCACCATGACCACCTCCACCTCCGTAATCGTCGCCGCCACGGCCCACGACGACCTCAACCACGTCCCCACCCTCCCCCCCAGCACCACCCTCAGCTACCTAGCCGAAGGCGCCGCAAACGTAATCTACCGCCTCTCCTCGCCCCCGGGGCCCCGCAATATCCAAACCAGCTCCTCCGCCTCCGAAAGGCCCTCCCCAGCGCGCAGCCAAACAAACTCGCCTACGCCCACCTCCTGCACACCTTCCACCCGCTCTTCCCCGCCCACCTCCTCCTCCCCACATCCCTCATCCGCATCCCCCCCTCCCTCCTCGCGCGCGAAAACGTCGCCCTCCGCGAACTCGAGGCGGCGGGGAAGCGCCCCGCCAAGCGCGTGGGGCTGTATCTGGAGGAGGTGGACGAGCAGTTTGGGTTCCTGATCATGGACATGTCGCCGCACCCCCTCCCCCTCCTCGACACCACCACCGCCACAATCACACCGCCGCCATCACCGGGACTCTTCGCCCGCGCACTGGCGTTCCTACCAAACCTAGTGCGGCGCGCGAAGCGGCGGGGTAGCAGCAGCAGTAGCAGTAGCAGTAGCAGTAGTAGCGACGCAGGCCCAGACTTAACGCTCCCCGCGCACGCACAGCGCACGCGGCAGCTGCTCATCGAGTTCAAGCCGAAATGGGTGGTACAGTCGCGGTCGGCGCCCGACGGCTGGCGCCGCTGCCGCACGTGCGCTCTGCGCCTGTCAAAGGCGCAGAAACACTCCTTCTGCCCGCTCGACCTCGCGTCGGGCGACGAGGAGCGCGTCCGGCGCGCCGTGGGGTTCATTGTTCCGCAGAAGCAGCCGGCGAACCTGGTGTTGGCGCGGGGGGTGGGGTGGGGCGAGGCGCAGGGGGTGATACGGGAGCGGTTGGTGCGGTTTGTGGTGGAGGGGGAGATGATGGGGGAGCTGGTGAGGCTGCATGGGGAGTTGGATCCGTATGGGCCGGTTGCGGTGCATGCGATGGGCGAGAGGGAGAGCGGGGTGAGGGAGAGGTTTGTTAGTGCCATGACGGTGAGGGATTTGACGGTGTTTTTGAGGGTGGATTTGGATAGTGGGGAGGTGGAGGCGCGGATTGGGGATTTGGATTTGAAGACGGGGGAGGCGGGGAAGTGGGCGTATTGGGCGGGCGTGGAGGGGAAGTTGGCGGAGGAGGGGTATTATGAGGGCGTGGAGGAGGGCGCGGAGGAGAAGGGCGTGTGGTGTAGGCCGTAGTGGCGGCGCGGGGGGGGGGAGGTTGTGTAGTTTTTTTCTTTTTTCTTTTTTTTTCGGTTTTTATTTTTATTTTATTTGTTTGGTTTTGGCGCCATTTCTTCTTTAGTTTTATCATGGGCTCTTTCTCTTTCGTATCTTAGTAGCGGTGCGGTGTGGTGCGGTGCGGTTTTGTGTGATGATAATGATGGAGTTCTCTTTTTTTACTTTCCTTTACTTGTGCCTTACTTGTGCTTTTAGCTACGGCGCGGTGCGGTGATTGGGCAGTGCGGTGTGGTTGGGCGGTTGGGTTGGGTTGTTCTATTACTACTACTAGCTGGGACGGGGCGGGCGGCTACTATTATTACTCTACTATCTACTTCTACTATCTACTACTATTTTACTTACTTTACTTTCTGCTTGTTTACTAGTGCTGTGTTGTGTGTAAGGACCGGGCGGTGGGCGGGCGGGCGTGCTTGGGCCAGGCGGGAGGGATTGGGCGGGAGTGGTAGGCCTATAGGGCGGCCGAGGGAAGTGAAAGGTGTGGGGGGGGGGGGGGTACACCGGGCCGGGAAAGTGGGCACTTACATAAGTATGTAGTTACGAGTAATGATAATGAGCCCTGAAGTAGTTTGCTGTGCAGTTTCTTTTGGTGTTTTGTTTCTCTTGTGCTTCGATTCTCTTGTGCTCCTGGGCTTTACTGGGCTTTACTAGGCTTCTTGGTGACCGCGTGTTGCGTACCACTTTTCTTGGTGAGTGGGCATGGCATCTAGCTATGTATGCGAGTGAGATCCGATGCCGGTGCCGGCGCGGCGGGCTGGGCTGGGTTGGGTTGAGATTGGGGTTGGGATTGATCTGGGGGTGGCTTGGCTTGGACATAGAAGTACATGTAGTTGGTTGGGGGCGCGGCGTGGCGTGGCCAGGTCGTTGGGTGTGGGTGTGGTGGTATAATTAGATAGAGTAGTGGGGGTGGGGGTAAGATGGTACCTGACTTGCAGGGGCGCAGGGGATTTGGGGGGGGGGGGGGGCTTGGCTTCACGGAACTGTGCTTGTGCTGCTACCTTGTGGTTGTGGTTGTGGTTGTGGTTGTGGTTGTGGTTGTTCATCTACCGTGGCTGGGCTGGGATTCTACTAGGTATGGTAGAACATGTATTACTGTAACCCTACCCTGTTTAAATGGGGGATAACACTGTAGCGGTCTTGCCGTATATGCCGTATCTACACTACACTACACATACCCTTACCACCACGAACGTACCCTGTCCGTAATATTACATCAACACCCGCACCCGCTCCACCGTCACCGCCGTTAATTAGCTAGGCAGCCATTACTCTACTATATAGAGCTAGTAGTACACGCAGGGATGTAAACCCGGTCTCTGGTGGTTAGCGCTAGCTCTACTCTATCACCCGGTACCTCAGCTAGCTAGGCAGCCATATCTCACTTTAATTCTACTCTAGTAATTGTACATCGAGAGAAATGGGCCCCAAAAGTAGTGAAAAGGTGCCATTTTGGTAACCCTTGTATTTTCACATTGTCGAGGTTGAAAAGATGCTGTGATGGTTGATTTTGACCAAGACCCCCTTCCACCGACAAGTCCTTCATCATCACCAACAAGTCCCCTTCCTTTCACCAAGGAATCTCTCACAAATAGACCGACAAGTCTCACCGCGATCCCCGACAAGTTCTTCGGCGGATTTCTTCACTCTTCCTAGTCGTTGCCTACAAAAACATGTGTATCCCCGTACTGTATGATGCGAAAGAGCGACCTACAAGCAGGCGATCATTCAAAAACCGATACCCCTCTACAACACTTGTACTATATTCTGTCAAACAACCCCCATGCCCAAAATCCAAACTCGAGATGAGATCGATTGGAGGAAGCTCCAGGAAGACCTCAATGGCTCTAAACGTTACGTCAAAAAATATAGCCCTGCCATTATAGCTCAAACTGACCGATTATGGAAGATATGGGAAACGTAAGTGATGGCATGGCATGACACCTCCCAAACAAATCTTCGCTAACTCCATGACCCAGTGTAACGGCAATATTATATTTCGGCTAAGGTGATAGATTGGGTTGTGAAGAGAAGGTATTGCGCAGTTGAACTATGATTTGTAATGGGTTTTATGTTATGTTCTTTCGGTTTCCATTACGCGGGGTATTAGTCATCAACGGACTAGGAGTTGGATATATAAGGGGGCGTTGTCTCGTGCCTTTTGATGTTTTCCTTCCTTTCCTCTTCTCTTCACGGAACCTCCTGTATCTACTCGCGCCCGACCGCTCGGGTGACAGGACCCCCTCCCGTTTCGACATCCTGATTCTCGAATTGCTTCAGGCCCTGAGCGAGACGTCCCCCTATCTACCGAGTTGAAGCCTTTCATTAGGAGCCGTCCTTCTTCTCACTCCCTCCTCAAACTCGTCGGCGCCCCCGATCGCGACACCCAAACGACCAGCCCCTCAAGGCTACCCCTCTCTACGTCGTATCGGCACCCTGTCAATAGTCTGGAGGTCAGCGCAGACTCATTGCCAAAGCCTACGATAACCCACGGTGTTAGCGACCTTACGGTCGCGAAACATTCGTTCCTTACCTTACGCGAGGTCCCTTCGTTGGGCCTTACCCCGCTTTACGGCCCTAGCCAGGCAACCCATTCAACCGAGTCGGTTTCCCCGCTCACCCAACCCCATCGGCCCGGTACCACAACCGAGGCCACCCCATTAAGACACGGTCGGCACCCACGATTGCGACCACCCTATATACTATGGAAATCGAGTTCGAAGGTCACCACTGTAAAGACCACCAACAGGTAGCGGCTTACGCTTACCCCATCTATACTTGGCCTCTGTGCCATTCCTCCCACCTTAACTCCCTGCTGCCTGACGAGCAGACTCCCAGGGACCCCATCGACACCCCCTCCCTATGCTTTCGCACCTGATGCTTCGGCGGTCTCTCGCCTCGCCTTCGTGCAGTACTTCCTATATGGCTTTGGTAATGATCCTGGTTTATGGTGAACGGGTATATAGACGATTGACTTTATGTTGTTTGACGGAAAAGCTCTTGGGATTTCATTTCTACTGTAGCGTTGTTACTTTGTTCGTCACTTAGTTTCTGTTCAGCTACACCATGTCGCGCGATGTTTGTACGTACCTTTTCCTTTGTCTTTGGCGGTAGTGTAGGCTTGCGATAAGCCTTTGGCTTCTAAGCAATATAAAATCCAATTCCAATTCCTGTAATTACCCTCGCAACACCAAAACTTTCGAACAACAATAACTTTTGGCCTGCACTCCTGATAAAACTTTTACTCGAATACGATCCTGTATGTCAATAGACCGCGTAATCTATTGGTATCTTATCGCACATCTGTTTGTACGCGAAGTTATTCACGCCCTAATTCCTGAGTTGTGAACTTTCTACCCCTCAGCCCTCGCTTAAGCCTCGCGACCACAGTGAAAACAACAACTTGGCCTCACCAAACCCACCCAACCCACCAAACACCGCGGGGCAGGAAGAGAACTTTATCAGAAGTCTTTCCCAACCCAACCCGAACTGGAACATCAGTGATGTCCCAACAAGCTTCCCTGAGCTCCTGGTTTGCACGAGCTCCCCCACCAGGTACACCGGCACCCCCCCGCTTCCCAGACACCCAATCGACCCAACAAACACAGTCCACCACGGTAGAACAGACCCAACTCGATAATGAACCTTTCTCTACCTTCGCCGAACACACCCAATACAACGAACCATATGCCCCAAAGTATGACTACATTCACCCCAGTATCGTCCTCCAAGAAACCCACGCCAGAATGGACCTAAACTACATCTCCTGGGTAGTTAGAAATGCCCTTACCGTAGCATTGGAACCCCTCAACAAAAACAACCGAACAAATCAATAAGGACCTAAAAGCTACCATCTAAGTCCTATCTGCCCAAAATGAGTCCCTCAAACACACCGTCGATATCTTCGCCAAACAAATGTTTGAAATAACAAAGAACCAGGACAAAACATCCGAAAAACTCCATAGCCTCCAACAACAAATCACCAACCTCCCCGCCAACAGACCCAAGAACCAAGCAGTTACCGAAGGAAGAGCTGCCACAGTTGCCGCCGTTGCCGCCGCCACCATCACCGCCGCCACCACACCCGCCAACAACCATAACCAGCCCCAACAACCAAGAGGAAAAGCCAAGGAAACACTGACGCCACCGGCACCAAAATCCTATGCATCCATATGTAACGGCAATATTATATTTCGGCTAAGGTGATAGATTGAGTTGTGAAGAGAAGGAATTGCGCAGTTGGACTATGATTTGTAATGGGTTTTCTGTTATGTTCTTTCGGTTTCCGTTACGCAAGGTATTAGTCATCAACGGACTAGGAGTTGAATATATAAGGGGGTGTTGTCTCGTGCCTTTTCATGTTTTCCTTCCTTTCCTCTTCTCTTCACGGAACCTCTTGTATGTACTCCGCGAATACTACTTTGTTCTACGCCTCGTCATAGGGTTCACTAGTTAGTCATACTAGGAAGAGCCACGCCATAGGCCATAGTCTCGTATACCTATTACCATGTCCTCGCCTCGGTTGTATTCCTTGGCACTATAGTCCCTACGTACATAGACCCCTGTTACACTAGGTTCCGTCCCCTATCGCCAACCAATACAACACTATAGTCCACAATGTTGGAACACGTTCCTATCGATTACCATCAACTAAGTGACACCCTTCAAACCTTCTTCCAAGAACACCCACAGGTCGATAATACTGTCGGGATAGAAGCTTATGCACTCCTTCAAAGGGCCCAACATGGTCTCGCTCAGTATGGAACGGACTTACAAGAGGTGGAGAAAGAGGCTGGAAATGCAAGGGAGATGTTCGAACGAGATCTTGCTGCTGCTAGAACTCAGCGGGTTGCTGTTGAAGTGGTTGCCCCTGATGAAGAACCAATCGGAGAGGATAATGCCCCACCGGTACCTCCAGTTCCACCTGTCCCAGTGGTTACCCAACGGTCGGAAAAACTCCCAGA